GATACTTATAATGGGGGAAGGGATTCCATAAAAAAGGAGAACACACAGGGCTGACGATTAGACTTCCACTTCAGGAACCTATAAAAAGACTATTTTACTACATATACATGCAGATACAAATGTGAGATTGTTATTTTATCATTCCACAACACCCGGATATCGAAGCAAAACACAAGGTCTTGGCATAATTGAAACCTTTTACCAAATTTTATTTGTAATGGTAGACACAAGCTATTTTGCAACACACAAACAAAAAACACTTAGGGTGCGTTCACACTTGTAGTTCGGTTCTCTTGGTTCGTTTGGTCCAGAACAAAAAAGAAAACGATACATTTGGTCCTGGTCCGCTTAGCGTTCACACTGGCATTTTTGACACCGAACCTAAAGGCATAGTGATACTTTCACAACCTGATTGGTCGGGTTGAATGTCATCTAGTACTTTTGAGGAAGCAACAAATTATGAACAATCAGTCAGCAATGCCTGATAAATGTTTTTTGGTTTATTTTCAGTAATAACTTTTTTGTTTTTTTGTTTGTTTTAAATGGAACCCATTTCCTAAATCTAGAATCAGTTTACCTGTCCTCCATGTTGGAATCTTTGATTTTGCTCTCATGGTGTCCATCATGTCCAGGTACCATGGTGTTACTACTGGACGTTGTTCCTGAAAAAGCCAATCAATTCAACGAAATGACAGTGAAAATGTAATTGCTTCCTTAGATCACATTTATCAGAAACTTTTCTGCAATCATTGGGGTTTCCTGAATTGTTTCTACTCGTCTTATGATTGTTCACCTTATTTGTATAAAGGTCATATTGAGAAATGCAAGTGGTCAGAGTGGTTTAAAGCATATATACCTGATGTAACAGAAGGGATCTTGTAAGAAGAAGTAATGCGGTAGTAAGGTGGGTTATCCATATGAGTGACAGCCGAGGATACAGGGTCTGTTTGCTCCAGCTCATACATTAACTCCTCCAGCAGCTGCATCGTCTTATCCCTGCCCAGATATACCACCACACGCTTGACCTGCAAAATATTAGGAAACACATTGAGAAACACAACTGCATGGAACAAATTTAAGTTATTAAGGGTACGTTCACACTTGTAGTTCGGTTCTCTTGGTTCGTTTGGTCCAGAACAAAAAAGAAAACGATACATTTGGTCCTGGTCCTCTTAGCGTTCACACTGGCATTTTTGACACCGAACCTAAAGATACCGAACCTAAAGGCATAGTGATACTTTCACAACCTGATTGGTCGGGTTGAATGACGTATATCTCGTGACGAAGCTGTGTTCGACTTAAAACGGCGCTGCGCAGACCGTACAGTGTATGACATGAAAGTACCCATTCACCGATCGGTCTGCTCAGCGCCGCTTTAAGTCAAACACACATAATGCTGTCTGCTGGACTATTCGTGCTCATTGCTGCGTGTACTTATTTTATTTTCACCACCTGCGAACTCACGAAGAGCTCATAAAAGGCACTTTACCTCCA